GTAATAAATGGTATTGAAAGAAGTTTGAAACCTACCCACAAAATAGTATTTTCGAGTTTGGAAAAATTATTTTTTTGGTGGTGGGGGTTGTTTGTTTGGTTTGGTCAAATTGTTGAGGTAAGAATTAAAAAGAATAAATCTAAAAAACTATACTTAACTGTTAGTGTGCAATAAATATACAGTTTCTTGGATGCCACTGTAGCTGTCCGATTTGTCAAAATCTTTTTTTCGGAGTTCTGCAGCTAATTTAAGAGCAGTCCCATGATATTGGCTATTAAAATGCAATAGAAATTATATTTAATGTTTCGTGTTGTATTTCTAACAAATCAGTACTTGCTGACTTGAATCTGAAATCATGAAACTGTTCCTATACTCCCTGTGCGATCTTTCAGATAACAATGTTCAATTCCCATGAGTACTTTCAGTACTTTGATTCTTATTAGGGTTTTGACAATTGTAAATATCTGGAAAACAAAGAGATTGATATTTCTACGCAAATGTCTTCTTTTTATTTGATATAATATTATAAATGTCTCTATAAGTTGATATGAAAGTGGGTAATTGTTTCCTGATGTTTCATTGTGGTAGGTTTTGCAATGCTTATGGATATTGTTTTCCTTATGCTGCTTCACAATATGTTTAATTCAAATGAAGTTGTGATTCAATGTATTGTTTGAATCAATCAATGCCCTTTGTAAATCAGAAGCCAATCATAAAACACATAACAAGGAGGAAGTTGTTATAAATTTAAACGTCATTTTTTTTAATAAACAGAGTTTATTATTTTGTCTTTAGATGAAGAGAGCAAAATTTCAGGAAACAACTTGCGACAATAATATTAGTTAACCAGGTTCAATCAAGGGTGTATGATGATTTACCCCGGGTTTTATTCCATACACCCTTGAGAGGCCTCAGGGTGTAAGTAATAAAACCCGGGATTAATCACCGTACATCCTCGATTGAACCTGGAAAACGAATTTATTTCCTATGTACCCAAAAAGTTTCTTTGTAAACATCAGAGTCTAATCAACTGTGTCTCAACCTATATATCGATAAGATAACTACGCTTTTTATCATATAAAGACAATGCATTGTGACGACAGGTTTTATTTACCCCCGGCTCAAGTCGGGTGCACGGAAATTTACACCCGACTTTGTAACAAATCAAGCTCATGTCACATGATTGTATACTGTTTAACGTCCCTCTCCAGAATATTTCACTGATATGGAGACGTCATCATTGCCGGTGAAGGGCTGCAAATTTAGGCCTATGCTCGGCACGTACGGCTTTTGAGCAGAGAGGTATCTTTATCGTGCCACAACCTGCTTAGTCGCCTTTTACGACAAGCAAGGGGGTACTGATGACCTATTCTAACCCGGATCCCCAAGGGGCAGCTCATGTTACAAGCTACGTAGGAAATAAGGTTTTTTTAATTTCCTACAATCTATTGGAGAGGTTGTACAATAAAAAAAAAATAACGCATGTGATAAAAGAATTAAACAAGAGGAAAATTATTCATACATGTACAATTTCAATAGAAAATTACAGATTTTGACAATGTATAGAATGTAAACAATTCCTTTTATACACGACTGAATCAACTATTGCAACAATACGCACATGATTGACAAAATTTCACAATTTTCTTCAATGAAAACTGTATAAAAAATTATCAATATCAATATTTTAACAGATCCTCTCGAACAGCAAGCCATACTTTTTTTCGAGCTTAAGCTGGTATGCATTTTAGTAAACTTAATACATATTATGATCACGAAACAGAGCAACATGCCATTGTTTTTTTTCTGTTGTCCAACTTGTTGTGACTTCATTTCTTGTTAATCGCTATTTTCCTTCAAAACTATACACCAGTTCTTTTTTTAACACATCTCAAAGATGATATTTTTATCAGTTTGTAACATGCTTTTTGGTTTAAAAAATATCAGATTCATGTGCATCAGAATTTGAAAAAAAAATGATCTAATAATGTATATATGTTTGTTTCGACATATTAAGGAGAATATTTATATTCTTAAAAGAAGTCGATATTTATCAGTGAAACCCTGTATGGTCCACAGTCGTATATTCGAGTTGAAGATGACACAGACCATTAGAAAATAATTGTATTATTTCGTAGATGTGAACGTGACATTTCTCTAAATGCCAATAATGTCCATATTTTCAGGAAAAGAGGGCAGATGATAGCACTACTAGTTTCTGTACTTTTGCACTTTTTCTTAGACAGACGAAACTTAAAGAAAACTTTGAAAGTAGAGATAAAAATTTAAAATCAATTTCTTAATTGCTCATTTTTCTTTGATGCCATACTCAGTATCCTTAAAGATCGAAGTTAAGGAAGACTATAAGCTCAAAGAGTGTTTTAAATATAACTCCGTTTTCTTTAATTTTTTTCGTTATTTAATGATATTGCAAAATCACCACTTGTGATCAATTTTTGAATGATTATGTAATAAAGGTCATAATAACCTGATGCTAAGGGTATTGATTCTTCCGGAGTTATATATTTTTCATATATAAATAAAGCGAATTATGTAATTGTTGACGTAGAAAAAAGATATAATCATTTCACTAAAATTGATTTGACTGTCTGCAAATGACTACCTGCACAAATAATATTATTGTTGAAAATGTTTTATTGTCAAACAAAAAACCTTTTTCACTAGAAGACATATACCACATGCATATGAGGAGACAATAAATTTAGAGTTTTATTTTCATACAAAAGCGAGCAACTTTATTATGCATATAGTTTAAAATAATACGGATGCAGTATTTTATGCAAACCCTGGTGAATAGACAAAATAGGAAAGGGGCTAAAATATAGTATTTCATCTTCCTTGTAAGCTTTCTTTATTCATAGCTATCTAATAAATATTTCACATGCAGAGATATGAAATACATGTAGGGATATTAATTGTCGTAAGCATTATTAGCAAGATTTACAGTCCATTGATTTTGTCATGGATTTTTTTAGAGATGATTCGGCTATATTTTTATCTGAATTTAAATAAAAGAAAAATAAAATCCATTGTACGAGGGTTGTCCCGTAAAATCGTGAACAAAGCGTTTTTCTCAAAAAGTTATGGGCGCACTAAGCTGAAAATTTCAGTAAATGTTTATTTATCATATTCAAGTGTATGATAATTTTTTTGATAAAATATAGGTTGAAATAAAGATTTTATTATGCTTGAATGTGCACGGGGTATTGTCGTACGGCGGACGGACAAAAAAACCAAGGTTTTATTAAAGAAGACACAAGTTTGAATTCAAAATAAAAGTTTTAAATACATAAGATTTGGATTAAAATTATCCTAATTCAATTCAACAAGCAATTTTGTAGACTTTGTAAAATTTTTACGGCATTTGGTTAATTTTTGGCAGTTTCGAGCATTCGAAATGGAAAAGTGGTAAACACAACACACGAAAAATGGCGACGTCTTAAGACGTTACGGCGCACCGGAGAGAAGTTCCGTTTTAATTTGATGTTGTAATGACATTGAAATGAGACTTGAAATAACAATAGAAGAAAAAGATTATAAAAATATCACCATATCTTAAGTATACAAAATGAATAGGAGTTTTTTAGCGAATTCTTTTATGATCGAGTTCCTAAGGAGTACAAAACATACGGACAAACTCCTAATGTAATATAGCAAAAGACGCTGTCACAGTACTAGTAGACCGCCGATATGAGTTTTCTATTATTTGATGGTGAGAATATTGTTCGTAACTTACTGATAAATCTTCAGAAGATCGCATGAGGGTGCCAATTGGTTCTTCGGCTGTTTATGGAGACCAAAGAATGTGTATCAATGAAATTACTAAATTTAAGTCGGACTCATCAAACTTCATTTTCAGCAAAGATAAAACATGACGCTGTTTTAGACACTTTAACGTTATAATCCATGCGCCGTAAGGTGATACAATACATGGCATAAAATCAAAAAAAATCATTTAGTCATGCATATATTTATCTGAGATTTGTTGTGTATATTACTAAAATATGTATGAAATAATAGTGAAAATTTCAGAACGCAGTGATGTTTATTTTTTACACTAGACAACTTGTCCACGATTTACGGGACAACCCTCGTAATTCTACAAGAATTTGTACCGAAATAAATTGAGTTGAATGACCAAAAAAAAGGAGTAAAAAGTAATCAGAATAAATCGTAATTCATAACTCCAAAATTTTTTGATAAGAAAAAAACCTTATTAAGAAAGGATGATACAAATAAATACTATTTATCATTGGGTCGGACTCCGTATCAAATATACTCTTCGTTTTACAAAATTTTAAATGACTTAAATTCATCTCACTGCTTTGATTGGACAATGGGGCTACAATTGATCCTACCCAATAACTTTTCAATGGTCCTTGTTTTATGCTTCGTTTACAGATTTGTATTATTCTAGTATTTTAGATGGTGTTTTTTTTAGATATTAACTTGATCAAATAATGTTGCTGACGACTTTTAAGGCTTATCAGCATAAACAAAAGGTGAAGCACTTAAAGTGATAATATCTATTAATGTCGGATAAGATAGTTGTTCCTTTCATCTTTAGGTATCTAGATTTTAATATCCTTAGGAGAAGGAAACCTTTAGTTAGTGTAAAATGAAACCTTAAACTTATGAAAAAAATAAAGTTTTATTTTTTTTTAAAGGAAACTAATTCAGAAACACATAACATTGACTCAGTATATGACATGCTAGAGACTTTGTCTTAATAGGAACCAAACTTTCAATTTAATATTTGAAATCGCAATGTTAAGGTAATGCTATATAGTTATTCGTATCTGATTCAACAAATCAATACTTTAATTAATGAAACATGCGGAGTACGTAACCGTTAGCCAATCATTTTTCAGTAACTGATATATGTTTTGATATTTATTATTGGCGGTTTGGTATACTATATTGCAAAGTCCTACAGGTACTCAACAACGTCGCCAGTAGCTTTAAATACAAATTACGATATGGGTGCTCTTTGGGCTATCTGTTTATTTTTTGCCTTTTTTGCGGTGTCTCAGTGTACCATTATTTCACGCAAATACATCGCAAAACTGCAACTGGGTGATAAGAAATCAAATGAAGAACTTATAGGAGAAAACAACTCTACATCAGTCATAGAGTGTGCAGCTCGCTGTCAAAGGGGCTGTAGTTTCTTTGGATTTAATCCTCAGATAAAAAATGTCGTACACACAAGAAGATTTTCACGTCGGGGATATTTTATGAGGGAGGTTGGGGATATTACTCACATGAATGTATGTATTTCTGTTATTTTTCTTTATTTAATTTTCCACGAATCAGATAAAATCACGAGTTTTTATTACTCATTATTGATTCTAAATAATAGTCCTGTCTTATTTTTTCTAATAACTTTAATTTCGGTAATAAGGACATGCTTAGCAAAATCTTCATTGTAGTTTACAACTTAATGTTTATTAACAATTCATCTTAATCCTTCTTGCAGGCATATATCTTCTCAACTCTTGTATATAATACATAACACATGTATGATTCCAGTATTATTTTATATTAGTTCTTTCTGTACATTGTAAGGTTTTTTTCTGTAGTTTTTCCGATAGATTGTAAAGAAATTCATGGAAATGATTACACAGATTCCGGGGTGTATGAAATTTATCCCTATGGGACCATTACCAGTCTTGTTCCTGTATACTGTGACATGACGACAATGGGTGGAGGATGGACAGTATGTAATACCGTATAGCGCGCTATTTTAGCGGGTGCTAATTTTAGCCTATTTTAGCATTTTGTGAGAAGCCCGCTAAAGTTCTGATCGATAAAATGATTAAAACATTTTTCTTACTTTTTTTTGCAAGGTGTCTAAACCATGTGTTTGCAAAAATAAATCATGCCAAAATTATTGACATACCTTTTAGCAAGCAAAACGCCAAATTTTACACCCGCCAAGAAAACCTGCTTTACGGTATATTTCAAAATCAGCGTAATTTTTAATTCACATTCTGTGGAATTGTTGTTCGAAAAAATATAGGATAAAGAAATATGAATATTTTTAGTTTTTATCAAAACGAAATTGTTTATTGCATTGATTTGTGCTAACTTTTAAAGGCAATCCAAAAACGTGTCAATGGATCCCTCAGTTTCGACAGAAATTGGACAGCATACAATAATGGTTTTGGTGCCCCTGAACAGGATCTCTGGGTTGGTAAGTGTAAATCTCTTGTAAAAAGGGACTTAACCGATAAAAAATTAACAATATGTCTTTTTTGTTGCAGAAAAAAAAGCGTATCAAACAAACATCAGATTTTAAGAGATGAAAATATCTTTTTACGATATTCACTAATAATGTTTAATTTGTATTTTAAATACATTAATAATAAAAGCAAGAGGTGAAAATCACCTAGTGTCTTGGTCTTAACGAAACCACAAGTAACATCATCTATGTCTACAACTAAGAAAAGCATTTAGTTTTTCATTATAATAAAAAAAAAATTATTGTATTGCAAACGACTTTACATTTGATTTCAAATTTGTCTTAATACAGGAAATGACATAATCCATCAATTAACAAAAGAAAACAACTCATTCCTATATGTGTCAATCACTCTCAAAGATGGATCAACGCTCTATGAATTGTACGATCGCTTCTCTGTCTCCAATGAAACTGAAAAATATCAACTCTTTCTTGCAGGACCTTCTAATGGAACATTAGGTTTGTGTATTTTTATGATCTTAAGAGTGGGTTCAAATCAAATATGACATCATATTCTTCTTTGCCTAAAAAGATTATCAAGTGGTTGAAAAATGACAATTTTTTTTAAATATTCCATAAACATCTTAATTAATTCCACTTTTTAACTTTTTACGAATTCATGGGGAAAGTGGGGAATTTCAGGTTTATATTGTAAAAACGAAAAAAAAAAATAAATTACTTATAACTAGCATGCTCAGTAATAACCTTTGATCCGTCAGTCTTATCTAACTTGGATTTCTGAGAGACTTTAAGTAATTCACATTTTGAACTTATATGGAATAGGAAGTTTACAGTGCGCAATTTTTGTGAAATGTAGACATATTCAAGACAGCTTGATGTTTACAGAAAATCAAAAAAGCCAAATATAAAAACTCTCAATACATTTTTACAATACCAGTTTCATATTTAATGAAAATCTAACATTGAAGGTACATCACTTAATATCTGGTTGTTATTTAATTGATTTACGTCGTATTGTATTCTTTACATTTAAAATGCACAGACTACTACAGTTATTAATTTTTCCTATAATCATTTTAAAATATTAGCGGTGACCTTTACCTCAATATTTATTTTTTTATCATTCTTGACAAGTGCAATACACATAAGATAGCAACACAGTTAAGGGGCGCAATGGAAATATCGACTAAATTTTGTATTTAAAAATGTATTCGTAATCGGGATGGCGATTATTTTTAGTACATTATTTATATCGGATAATTGTAATTATGATTAATAACTATATATCGAGGACAATTATATTTTATATTTAGACTGGTCACGTGATGCGGCACGCGATTTTAGCCCATTGACTTGTAGTATTGATGTTACATATAAATATCACTAGTGCAAGGGCATAACCAAGTTAAATTTCCAAGTTTCGTATATAAATATTTTCAGCACGCATTGTAGTTTCTAAAAAGTACTGCGATCCTGTCTAAATTCTACAATTTCATTGTTAAAATTATACTTGTATGACCGAATGCTATTTTTTTGCTGGTAACCGACATGAAATACTGATATAATTAAATTGTTTTTAAGATTTCATCAGGATCGCAGCACTTTTCAGATACCTTAATAGATCTATAGTTGAAATGTGAAAGCTTACTTTGATCCATAGAGTGTATGCCCTTGCACTAGATCGATTTTTTAAGACCCCCACATTACCCTCCGATGTACTTGCATACAAATATACGGCAGTGTCAATTAAATACGTAATGCACAGGAAATATAATAATAAAATAGTGAAGAAGACTTTAAATTCAAGTTATTGGTCCATAGAATATGTGTAAATAATATTTTATTTAATTAGAGAATACATATTTTGTTGAGAAAATATTACTTGATTTGTCTATAACTGCATACAAACTACGTCACGTTGTAAGAAATGACGTCATATTGACAAGTGTATTGTGATCAGTGACTTGTTTATAACTTGTAATGTGGGATTTAACTAACGACAAAACAACACGCTGTAGTAAGTTTTTATGTAGTTTGATGTTTCATACTGGTTAAATTAGCAGATAAACTCATTTTGTGGTATTTTAAAGAAATGTTGTATGACGTATATTGTGAATGATGTCATAGTCAAGTTTTCCCGTACAAATTAGGCTCCGCCTCCTTTTTGTAACCTTAACTGTGCTGCGATTAATTATTACCCTAGAAAGGATGTTAAATGACTTGAGCTGTATATTAATGTTTTCTTTATATTAGGTCACCTGAGTAAACTCAGGTGACCTATTGCTATCCGTTTTCGTATGTCGTTGTGTGGTGTGCGTCATTTTCAGCTTCGTTTCTGGAACTGCTCAACCAATTTTGGTATTAAGCATCTATGGGTGAATTTCTTGGTCTCTGCCCCCCTGGGACCTGAGGGGTTGAGCCAAAACCACTAAAATTAGTGCAATCTTTAACAATCTTTCTCTTTACTCATGGACATCAAGCAGTCAAACTGTTTACATGATTGTAATTATCATTGCGTCCTCTACAAAAATTGTGAATTTTATGGCCCCAGGGTCAGGGGTTCTGGTGTTAGAGCAGGGCTCTATTGATTGTATATATAGAGAAATGCATTAATTCTTTGATAATCTTCTACTCTGCTTCTAGGTGTTTAAAAATAAACTAACTAAGTGAAAAGTTATGATAAGCAAGAGTGCCTTTAATAAAATTGCGAATTTTATGGTTCCAGGGTCAGGGGTTTTGGTGTTAGGCTGGGGCGCTATTGAATATATTGAGAAAATGCATTAGATCGTTGAAAATCTTCTACTCTGCTTCTAGGTATTAAATTAACTAAGTTCATTCTTATGATGAGCAAGAGTGCCTCTACCAAAATTATTAATTTTATGTCCCCAGGGTCAGGGTTTCTAGTGTTAGGGTGGGGCTCTATTGATTATATAATGAAAATGCATTAATTCGTTGAAAATCTTCTTCTCTGCTCCTGGGTATTAAAAAAATGCAACTTAGTACATATTATGAAGAGCAAGAGTGCCTCTTCAAAAATTGTAAATTTTAAGGCCCCAGGGTCAGGGGTCTAGTGTTAGGTTGGGGCTCTATTAATTGTATTAATGCATTAATTCTTTAAAAATCTCTGCCTCTGGGTATTAAATAAAGTACATAGTTACGATGAGCAAGAGAGCCTCTACCAAATTTGTGAATTTTATAGCTCCAGCGTCAGGGGTTCTGTTGTTAGGGTGGGGCTTTATTGATTATATAGTGACAATGCATTAGTTCTTTGAAAATCGTTTTCTCTGCTTTTGTTCACTAACTAATTACAGAGTTATGATGAGCAAGAGTGCCCCTACCAAAATTGTGAATTTTATGGCCTCAGGGTTAGAAGTTCTGGTAATAGGTCGGGGCTCCATTTATTAATTATATAGTGAAAATACATTAAATCTTTGTAACCAAAGTAAGCAATCGCTAAGTGTAAAGTTATGATAAAGAAAGTATGCCTCTTCAAAAATTGTGAATGCCATAGCATCTAGCTTAAAATGGGAATCAAATTCAATCATTTGAAAGTTGTTTCATGGTGCTCAGGTGACCTATAAGGTCTATAGGCCTCTTGTATTATCTTTCTTTACAGGAAAAAAGTATAAGAATCCTACTCTTTTAGACGTACTTTAGAATTAAGAATAAGATTAAAGTTATATAAATACTCTATACAGGGTTATTTTCATTCAGTGTTTTTTACGGCGTTTTACACTTGCTTACAATTTTGCTCCGTTTTAAATTCCCAAGTAATAGTTCTGTATAAGGAAATATGTTCTCTGAATTCGCCCCGTTATAAATCTGCCCAACTTTAAACAGGGCGAAAAGGGTGAAGTTCGGGGAGAAATTCCCAGTATATAGTAAATATATCAATGATATATATCTTACATCCTACAGGAGACAGTATGACAAACACTACTAGCTATTACACAAATCTGTCTGGGATGTTATTCACCACCTCAGACAGGGATAACGACGGAAGTATGCGTAACTGTGCTGTTGATTATGGAGGGGGCTGGTGGTTTAACTGGTGTCACCAGGCCTTCCTTAACGGTCCCTGGAACATGGCATACTGGCTTTATCCATGGTACCCTAAAGTAGAGAGTGGGGCATCTGTGAGGGGTACGATAATGATGATAAAACGTCACGAGGTAAATATCATAAAATTATTAATAGCCCGAATTTATTCTTCTTTTTTTATTATACATTTCAAACGGTTATAGCATCTAAATAAGTAGAATTTACTTTTTTGTTACTTCTTGAACATTTTGAATACTAATTTGGAAGAGTTATTAAAAATATCTGTTAGATTTCTGAATAATTATTAAATTCTTAATTTAATTTTCAGTAGATGGAGATATTTTAAGAATTTGAAGGAAGAGTTTGACAATAATACATCGATTAGAAAAAAAAATCTCAGAAAAGGGACAGTTTTAAATGTATATTAATCATGAGGTTAAATTTATTTTTTTCCGAAAGGAATATTTAGTTTTAAGTGAAACAAGCCCTGAAGGTGAAAAGGATTATATATTTGAGGTGCTTCGTGTATGAATTATTTGCTAAAGCAATAATTAAGGTGTAGTTACATGTACATGTAATTTCCTTTACCAAATGTACCCAGTTAAATCTGTGCGTTTTATGTGTTGTAATAAATTTGAAAACAAAAATGTTTCGTTCTTATTTACAAACATTGACAAATGTTTGATGTACAATAGTTTATCATAATAATCTTGCATACATTTTATTATTTGTGAAAATTGTTTTATTCCAAAAGCAACTTAATTATAAACTTAAAAAAAGGAAAAAAAAAAACATAAATATCAGAACATAAATCAAAAAGCTTCCTACCTTCCTAGATAATTTAAATCACTTTTTATTCGCGAGAACTTTATTTTCGCGTAATTAGGGGAGACTGATGCTCGCGAAAATTTCATTCTCGCGTTTTATAGAATTCCTTAAGATCATATTGAGCAATGACCACAATTCGAGAAAAGTTTGTCTTGCTAATAAAGAGTCAAAGACTATCTCGCGAAAATAAGGTGTCGCGAAAATTAAGTGATCTACAGTACTGCTCTCCATATTTAGTATTCGAATTTGGGCTTGAAATTTTAAGACCACAGAGAAAATCTTAGTAAGTTAACTTGTTTATGTGGAGTGGCTCCTTGTACCAAATTTTTGCACGACTTAGTGTAAAATGAAACATCTATCCATTGTCTTTCATTATGTATTCTCAAAAGTGGTACGATGACCCACTCTCTTTAAAAAATGTAGTACTTGCATCCAATCTGTGTCATTGTGTCGCACGTTCCATTAATGCGAATAACCTAAATCGTGCACTGTGTCTTCTGCAAATGAAATTACACAGAAATATAAAGGGAAATTCTATAAAATCTTCTTCTCAAGAAAGCAAAGCCATGATTGGTCATGGGACTACTTTTGGATTTAAACTTTACAACAATAAACAAATTCTACTTTTTCCTAGCCACAGTCCTCTGGTGAGCGATTTTTAAACATATAATGGGTAGATAACCGTAGAAAATGATTACCTTGAGTCAAATTGAGATTGTGATAGGCCAGTGACTCAATAGAAAGGGGAATTATGAAACCATACCCTCTTATTGGGAAAATAAGGGAAAATAATTCATGAATGGATGAATGTCAAAATACTTTCAAGTAACAACCCCCCTCCTCTATTTAAAAACGATCGATTGTCTTAATCATTGAGAAGCTTAACTTGCATTAATATTATGATGCGTTTTTAAATTTTACTGCACTTTCTAGGAACGTACATGTATTCATCTATTTCTTATCCTTTTCCCGGAAAGGTGCGTGTGTTTAATTTTGTCAATATTATACCTGCATGTTTTAATTCATGCTCTTTTCTGATATTAAAATATAAAATAAAATTTATATAGATACGTAATAATCGTTTTTAATGCTCTTAAAAAGAATCCATTGGAGATGGACTTATGAGATTCCCACTTTTTGCTCCTTTATCACAAATTAGTTAAATGTGGGAACAGGGGGAAAGAAGCAAAACTACAAATGTCCTAGCTAGTAAGCCCCACCTTTATAAAATTAAGACCCATCGAATAAGAGGCTCGATATTTTGAGTCTGAAGTTTATCTTAAATAATACTGTAACAATACAGCCGCGTAGCAGCGTTTTTGAAAGTGGGCGAGGGGGGGGGGGGGCTGAGAAAAAAAATACTTACTCAAAAGTTGACAAGCCTATTTCGGGGGGGGGGGGGGGCTTACTTTTTCAGTGCCAATTTTTTCCCGTACCAATTGCCTGCAGTATGAATAAATCTTTAGGAGTGGATCTCATCTTTACAAAGAAGTGGTAACTGACCACTGGCACCCCAGTGTTACCAATTTAACACCACCAGCAAAAGTAAGTCTTGTAGAACCAGATGTTGTTTATTTATGACAAATCTTGTGAGTGTGCAAGGGATGGGATGGGAGTGAAAAGATGTTTGATAAGAAGTAACAGACCCTTTGAATTTACTAGTGGCTCTCACATAATATACTTTCAGAATGGCAGACTTTAGGCCTATAGTATATACCGGTACAGAACCATCATTTCCGAATATATACAACATACCCGACTTAAATAAATAGCACATGTCTAGTTGCTACGTGTGTATGTCATGGTCCAAAGAGCGATTTATGTATTAAAAAAACTTAAGGATGAATCCTCCTAAATAGACAAATTGTATATCTCTTTTTAAAAGATAATTTGTGCAAACCTCTTATTTGTCCGAACAAAGGACAAGATAGGGTAAGAACAGTATTTGGCCCCCGATTTGGGGTGTCTTTCAGAATGATGCATCAGTTTATCCATGAAAACCTGTTTTCACCCCTGCCACATAATGAGTGTTGGTTTTAAGATTAAGGAAATACAGGGGTGACAGTGAGGTCAGGAAATAGGTCAATTTTCGAAATTTCTCATGTTTATGCAATTTTTCACTAATTTTACAGCACATTTTCTTTCGGAAAACATAGAGCACACGCTTGCCTATCTACCAAATTTATATATTTTGTACACTTATATCAGATGCAGTATATATGTAAAAATCTCAGATAGGCAAGCGTGTGCTCTATGTTTTCCGAAGAGAAATGTATCCCAAATATGATGAAATTCCACCAGAATTGAGGAAATTCGGGAAAATGTCCTATTTATGCACCCTCTAGTGGCTTCCATGTAGGCTTTGAATCAAAATTAGTCCTTGTCTTGAAGTAAGCATCATTTTAACTTCTTAACTACAAACTATCACAGTTTTACCAGTGTTCTGATTTTTATATCAAATAAGGGGCCAGATCAGGCTGCTACCCTATCTTGTCCTTTCTAATTTGTCCGAACAAATAACTAATTCTTCCGAACGAATTTTTAATTTGTCCGAACAAATAACTTATTTGTCGGAACAAATTTCTAATTCGTCCGAACGAATATCTAATTCGTCCGAACAAATAACTATAGTTCCAATTCGTCCGCACAAATATCCAATTCGTCCGGACGAATTTCTAATTCTTCCGAACGAATTTCTAATTCGTCCGAACAAATAAGTGATGAATAGGAAATGACAGTTCTGCGCCATGAGGGACGAGGGACGGAATCGAGGGACGCGGTGTATTTTTAGAAAGGGGTTTTTCCGTGATCTATATACCTGTGGTGCTATTTCTATTATAGATTTGCTTTATAATGTATTCAGTAAATGAGTGGCGTTGATTAATAGGTGGATGTTTTATTTATCTGTCTGATCGTAGTTCTGCGCCATGAGGACGAGGGACGGAATTGAGGGACGTGGTGTATTTTTAGAAAGAAGATTTTCCGTGATCGATATACCTGTGGTGCAATATCTATCTTAAATATGCTTTAAAATGTATTCAGTAAAATTAATGAGTGATGAAACATTTATCTACCTGTCTGATCGTATTGTCTATGTACAAGCAAAAACATCTACTATAAATATTTAAATTGGAAAACCCCAGTTTATATCCTAAAGTGTATATATATAAGAGACGTTCTCTATATCATTCTTACAGTGTTTACAAAAATTATGGAGTGGAAAGAACATTTAAAATCTATTTATTTCGATTTGGAAAACCCTGTAAGCTATTCGGGTCCAACGAAGATTTATCGTTATCTCAAAAAAGAGGGGAAATATAAAGTTGGGTTGTCAGCCATAAAGCAATGGCTTCAAGACATCGATGCTTACAGTCTTCAGCGCCCGCAGAGGTACAAGATCAAAACAAACAGAGTGATTTCTCAAGGAATAGACTTTCTTTGGGACGCAGATTTAGCAGATGTAAGTTCCATTTCCAAAGAAAATGACGACTTGAAATTTCTGCTTGTTACAATTGATGATTTTTCTCGATATGCTTGGGTTAGACCTTTGAAGAATAAGAAACATGAAAGTATAATCGATGCTCTAAAAGATATATTTGAAGAAGGTAGAATTCCTTCTGAACTGCGGACGGATAAAGGATCAGAGTGGATTAATAGATGGACCAAGCAGTATTTGAAGAGGAAAGACATACATCATTTCGTCACGCAAAATGTCACCCATGCTAATTACGCAGAGAGGTTCATCAGGACATTGAAAGTCATGATGTATCGCTACTTCACACATAATCGCACATACAGATACGTTGAAGTTTTACAAGACATCGTTCAAAATTATAACAACCGACCGCACAGGTCCCTGAATGGTCTATCTCCAAGCGATGTGAACAAAACAAATGAAGATATCATGTGGAAGAAACTGTATGTGGATGTGTTGAAACCCACTGTGGTACGAAAGAAAAATTATAAACCACATAAACGATTCAAATTTAAAGTGGGTGACTATGTCAGATTGTCGGAAATAAAGCACACTTTCCAGAGAGACTACGAACAAAAATGGACCGAGGAAGTCTTTATTGTCAGCAGAAGATTTTTACGTCAAGGAATACCTGTATACAAAGTCGTTGATTATAGTAAAGATCCTATTGACGGAACTTTTTATGAAGCAGAATTGCAGAGGGTTAACAAAACAAGAGACGACTTGTGGAAAATAGAGAAAGTACTAAAAAGACGCAAGCGCAGAGGTCAGACGGAGGTGTTGGTCAAATGGCAAGGATACCCCAGAAAATTTAATTCCTGGGTTAATGAGGATGAATTACAGGATATATAAGAAGCCAAATTGAAGTTTTATTCATTCTATCCAAGACAGTCATGCAGTCAACATCGTGCTCTGTTTGCCAGCGAACATTTTCCAGGTACGATAACATGTTGAGGCATAAACGTATGGCTCATGGAACAAACCAACCATATCCTCGAATCAATAAAGCGTATCCTCCTCCTCCTCAAAAAGTACTTCCTCCTCTTCCTCAGGAATTACCTCCTCCTCCTCAGGAATTACCTCCTCCTCCTCAGGAATTACCTCCTCCTCCTCCTCCTCCTCAGGAATTACCTCCTCCTCCTCCTCCTCCTCACCCAGAAGAGACATCAGATTTTCCGAGGTTCAAATTTATCCATCCCTTCACGATGATTATCGCAGGACCAACTATGTCAGGAAAATCCACATGGATCAAGAAAGTATTAATTCACAAAAATCAACTCATAAGCCCAGTACCAGAGAAAATCTTATGGATTTATAAGCGATGGCAACCCCTATATGATGAACTAAAGTACTGGATTCCAGGTATAATATTTATTGAAGGCATTACAGAGGATATTAAATCAGATACAGTTATCAACCCCAGGGAAAGAACTCTTTTGATCATTGACGACATGATGAAGGATGCAACCCAGGACAAGGAGATCTGCGAGCTGTTTACGGAGGGTGCACATCATCGCAACCTAAGCGTAATTTGTATCATGCAGAATTTATTCAACAAAGGAAAAGAAAATCGAACGATGAGTTTAAATAGTCAGTATATAGTTCTGTTTAAAAATCCGAGAGATCGACAACAGATCGGAGTTCTAGCTCGACAGATGTACCCTGGAAACACCCAGAAGCTTCTAGACGTTTATGACAAAGCAGTGTCAGTTCCCTACGGAGCACTTGTGTTAGATTTAAAGCAAAGAACCCCGGAATCAAAGCGATTTCAGGCGGATATATTCAAACCCTACATAAGAGGGCGAGAAAACTCTGGACATCATTTGACTGCAGAGCATCAAACAGAGAAGACGTCTCCAGGCGACTCGTCTTACTACAAAACTCTTAACACGGACTATCAAAGTAAGGAGATGGCTTACCAGAAACCAAACCAGGATTATGATAATAGCAGTTTGTCGTATTATCAAAGAAAACCGATAGGATCTTCTGATAATCTGAGAACCTTTCCTTGGCCATCGCAACTTAATACGAGAAATGTGCATTTTGATGAGAAATACCCATCGTGTGCCGATTGCGGAACCATGTACGCCAGCTCTTATGATTTACAGCGTCATGTTAAAAATGGTTGTCCAATGGAAGATAATTCAGACGAAAACGATACCATGTCTGACGTCAGTGAAGAGGATGACGACAGAGAATTCTCTTCCCTCGTCAATGAAGTATGGGAGGAAAATCAATCTCAGTTTGACAAAAAATATGATCAGCTCATGGAAGAAAATTCAAACCTCTCCAAAACGGAAGCTCGAGAGGAAGTAAGTGAAATGATGTTACCCAAAGACAGAAACTCGCTCCTTAAGAAGTATAAAAGAATTCTTTTAACTTTTGCGAAATTGAATCGAAGCAAGCTTCACCGCAACATCAACAAAGAAGTATCAACCCTCATGAAGAAAAAGGATATAGATCTGGAAAGGGCAGTTTCCCGAGTTCTAAATAAATATAGACAAGAGTTTGATCAGCTGTTGGAGGCCGACGATAGCGTTTACCAGGATGATACCAAAGAAGAGTCTAGCGACGAGGAAATGGATGAATAATTTATACAAGTGATTTTACATTATGAAACAAGAAAACAAAGTCCTTGTTTAAGTTCAATTCTTTATTATCAAATTGACATGTTAAATGATGACAATGTATTCACAAATTGTGTTACAAATTGAATCATTCACAAAAATGTATATTAAAATCAATAAATCTGACAAAATAAGAATTGTCTTGTTATACATGTATATACTATTTATAGTATTAATGGTCTTACACATGATTATCAAATGGTGTGATTTTGTAATGACCATGAGCGAGGGTGTGTATACCAGAGTCCAGAACGAACCCTTTGTCATCGTATGGACTTAGCGTTGTTTTACATACAGATACAGAAAACAGCTGATGGCTATAACTTCTTATCAAATTCATTGAATGACGCATGTAGCAATGATCAAAAAGGGCTTGCTTGTAAGCCTGATGTTTTAAGTGTCTGTCTATTACAGATTTTTTGACTCCTTTAGCCGTCTTCTTCTCTATGCCATCATACAACAAACTGTACATCTTAGGTCTGAGACCAATGAATTCTTCTATCGGTTTCCCTCCGCACTCATCCTTCATTTTACCGAGAACCTTACAGTTTGTTTTGGAGAAAAGAAAGTGGGTTTTCTCAAAGTTACTGGTGTCAAAAAGAGTTTTATGAGTAAATATATCTTGATAAAAGTCTTCTGTTTGGATTTCATAGCAAAGGCTATCCGTGTCTGTAAACAGAAGACTAGCCTTTTCCCCGTAGGTAGATTTTACAAAGTCATAGTGAAACTCGAACATGAGCAGCTTAGCGAGGTCAAGAATACAAAAACCAGCATATATGGGGCGATTGAGAATAATGTTGTTTTTCCTAAGATTGACAGCTACTAGGTCATCATTGAAGATCTTAAAAGACTGAAAGTTTGGCTTTGCACATACTTTACGTAATCTCTTTTTGGTGTGCACCAGTTCCACATTCACTCTCTTTCTCATGTTCTCCATGGTTTTCCCAAAGACAGAATTATTCATGAGCTTATAAAAATCTTTCTCGAAATCTGTTGTAGCCTGAGACCTCCTGTGGGTATTAAAATCAATGTATGACTTTAACCAAGGAGACTGAGTAAATTCTAGAACCCTGTGGATTTTGGATAATACAAGACCTTTTGACAAATAGTATTTTAGATTTCGATAATGAATAACGTACTTTTCTTTATCATTGAGGTTAGGCACGAGTTTTAGGGCACCTCCTTTGATGTCTAACTTTTCTTTGAGCATCAAACTATGAGGAGACAACATATCATCTGTAATTGTCTTGTTTTCAGGAGCAAGAGGATAATCACTATGTTCATCATGTAGAAAATCGGGATATTTTAGATCCACTTCTAATATATACCCGGTGTCCGAGTCATCTGGGATATCCATGACATTTAAACTATGTATTTGTTCTGGAGTGCACCAGGCAAAGTCCCTCTCGGGCAGGGGCATTGACATACTTGTACCGTAAAGGTTATTCATGTCTAGATAAGTAAGCCAAGTTTTCAGTTTTGAAGGATCAAAATCAGGGACCATTGGGTTGTTGGCTTTGGCGTATTTCTTCGAGATCATAGACACCCCTCCCCTAATTCCCAGCTCTATCATCAAAACCATATCGATGTCATCAAAGAGCTGTAACTTAACTTTTGTCATTTTCAACATGGCCTCCCATGCAAGACCGGGTGAAGTATAGAAATGAGCGGGATCTAGATGATATGCATTCAGACATAGATTTCTAAAATTCTCAAATACATCAGAGAGTAGTAAGACATCCGTTTTTAAGTATAAATCATGGTAATCCCCCATGTTTGTCATGTTAAAGGTTTCCCATACCTTTTCAGCGTGAACATAGCCAGTCTCAGAAATATCAGATTCGGACAGTTTGTTGTAAAATGCTGTGACCGGAGGTAACTCTTGGTCGTAAAATCGATCCCAACAGGACATGTAATCATAGGGATAAACCCCTTTCCGTAGTAAGAGGTCTCTCTCAACTTCAGATGGAAAATGTCGGGATAGATTTTGAAATCTCGATCCCCCTTCTTTGGCTAAATTTGTTACTAAAGTGTCTAGTGAAGCATTCAGAAATTGTAATGAATCAATGAAACGTAAATTATCGAGTGAAAAACTAATGTATTTCTCCATATTGTTTGGAATACAAGATATTTTCTTATTCTTTAATTTTCCAATGGCACTCATCATGTGGTGAAGGTCGTAATTGCGGCTGTTGTGTGCGATAACAGGAATGTAGAAATCCCTGTTTTCTTTCCTAAATTGGAGCTGCAAGTTACACTGGTTATGTGCTGCACCTCTGTACTTGCCCGTTAAATGATCATGATCCCTGACCCTATCCACCCCTAGAGGTTGTTCACAAATGTGACAATCAGTGGCGTTTCTGAAAGAAGTTTCTTCTTCTACTGAGATGGACATGGGTTTACTTTGGGACAGTATCTTACAGATTTCCTCTTCCTCTTTGATCAAACATTCAAAGAGGTGATCCATAGCATTGACACCCCTATATAGATAAGCAGGTTTTGATTTACTATTATCTGAACATTTCACGTAATAGCAAAATCCGCAAGGTTCGTGCTTTTGATAGGGAGTGGTCGATGAATGAGTCTGACTCGGACTACAAGATTGAATAGGAATAGTTAAACTTTCCAAGTCGAGATAAATGACAAAGGGTACCTTCAATTGTTTATTAACATGCTTGAATTGCACCCATTGATCATGTTCTGATTTTGGGAACGTTAATCTCTGGGGACCATGAGGAGAGCAATATGGAACATGCTCATTTAATAAATCTTGTCTTGTAAACCCATGGAGACAGAAATTACAATAGAACGTTTCTCCATCATGGCTGGTTCTGTCCCCCATTAGCCTGCTCATGTTCCTGATAAGACCATAATGTCTTGTTTCACCCTTTGAGAAAAGAAGCAAATTGACATGGTGGAACGTATTTCTTGCTTCTGTTATGTGAAGGGGGAAAATTTCATTTTTCTCAAATCCAAACACATTGACTGATATGTTGTTTTTCCTTTCAAATCGATTAATTTGAGACAAAGGTAAAGGGAAGTCTAATCCCTCAGTATTCAGTTCATACTCATACTTCGTGTAATTTGACACACGCGCTGGGTGATCTAATCTACCAATAGGATGAAGAGAGGCTAAAATCGACCAAAGAAAACATTTTTGATCTACATTTTCAATGTTCAGTACAGCCTTTTTCTTTGCAATTTTTGGTGGCAAGGGAAGATAACTGCTACCAGATAAAGGGGCATACTCTGCAGTGTTAAACTCCATTTTTAAAATCTGATCAATAGACCATCCACTGCCGTCCCTTTCAAAATTTTGATAACTAACATATAAATTTTTGTAAGCTTTAGCCAGCTGCTCTTTGATTTCTGTTCCATTTGTCAGTGTAAAATTAATAGATCTAAATGTCGGCTCAGCATAGACAGCCTAATTGTTTTCATTGTATTTGACAAATTTGACATACAAAGTCAAAAACCATTTGATACCTCGTTTTGACCACAGGGTAGTATGAAGAAGATATTGGATTGGGTCACTGTTGTCTTTGAAAAATTGAAGAATGTCCCACAGATTACCCGGGTTTGGTTCCAACACTTTTGTTTCCACCCCTCCTTTTAATGCTTGCTTGCTTCCAGCACCTGATTGTGTACTCCATCTATGTCGTCTATTCACGCAGGAATCGCATACATCTGTTCGGTGACTGTAAAATCGTTCTGGTAGAGGTCGATGACACCAGTGGCATTCTCTACCTGTCTCAGCGCATGAATGGCAGAATTTTTTCCCATTTAATAAAGGTTTAATCTGGGTACACCAGATACATTTCCCTGTAGACTCTGTACTCATCTCATTCCTTGTACTTTGCATAGGGATATCTGGAGGATTGTTTTCTGCATCCTGTAACATATTTTCTTCGTATCGCCGTCTTTTCATCTCTGACTGGTTTTCATCTGTTTCATCAGCATGGTTTGTTTGTTTTTGATCCGCTCTCCTTTTTTCTCCGTGTGTTTTGATATGTCGCGTAAAGTTGTCTTTCCTGTTGAATTTTGAATGACATATTGGACATACATTAGTATACGGCGTTCCGTGCATGGTTCTCTGATGTCTATTTAAATGAGATTTCTGCTTGAAAGCTTTCCCGCAGTCATCACACCTGTGTTCGTCGTTCCGCTCCATCAGCGCGCAGGTTTACCTGGACAGATTTGTTTAATATAGACGTGTTAAACACGATGAGTCTGCTCTCTTTCAAGCTCAGCTAATAAATGACTGTCGGGATTAATTGCGATTCATATATCCTCATTCACCGGAAAGTCCACTTGTGCTATTCTTAACTGAGGGGGTATTGCACAACAGACTGAAATAATTCATTGTTCAAATATTTTTAAATTATATAAAAAACAATATTTTTTTTCTTTAATGAAGCTAGGGGATCTTCTTACGCTTCTTAGTTGAAAATAAAGTCTGCCACATAAAAATCACCCAACGCGTTGTATTGATTAAGCGTATCTAAAAATAGATGGGTATTTCCTCTTTCTAAAATTACACCACGTCCCTCGATCCGTCCCTCATCCCTCATGGCGCAGAACTGTCATTTCCTATTCATCAAATAACTTATTTGTCCGAACAAATATCTAATTCGTCCGAACGATTATCTAATTTGTCCGAACGAATAACTAATTTGTTCGAACAAATAACTAGTTCGTCCAAACGAATTTCTAATTTGTCCGAACGAATATCTAATTCGTCCGAACAAATAAAAATATTTTTTTTCCTGGCTCTCCAGCAGGGCCGTACAATCCAGCTTCGAAATGAATAAAAAAAATAGTATACAATTTTTTTAAACAATTCAATTTACGCTGAAAAAAGTCCTAAAAGAGGGCAATAGTATACGTATATTCAATAAGAATTTTAAATTATTGTTTGTTTTTTTTTATTCAAATACCGATAATTATTAGACGAGTCCCGAGCAATAAGCATAAAGTAATATTCTTTGTAAAAAAATACCAACGTTTAACATGTACATGTACCTGAATACATGAAATATTAAAAGGAATGTTTAAGTAGATTTTTCCAGAATAAGTTAATGTCAACAAAAAGGTATACATACGCGATTTTGTCATTGGCAAAATTGTTTACGGATACTACGTCTTTATTAGTCCCCTACCGGTGAAAACGGGGGGGGGACTATAGGTTTCTGGTATATATACTACATTGTACTATAGGTATATGTCTGTCCGTCCGTCTGTCCGTCCCCGTCAGTCTGTCCCACTTTGTTTTCCGCACTTTTTTTCTAAACGCTTGTAGATATTGAGTTGAAGTTTGGTATGTGAGTGTATGGTAATGAGTTACAGATCAAGTTTGAATTTCGCTTCGCTTCATTGATTTTTGACAGAATTATGGCATTTTGAATGTTTTTCATAATCGCTAAATTAAGATCGGGTTCGAACTGCGCTAACTTCCGATGGTCGAAATAAATAAGAAGCGAGGAAAAGACGGTGGAGAAATGAGTTGAATTTTCGTCTTACTGTGGATTATTTTAGTTTTAAGGCATTTACAACTTGAAAATCTTTCAATTTTACCCTGGACTTGACTTTTGCTTATTATAAAATGACATCCTGAAGAAAAAGGGGAACCCGGTAGGGGACATGTATTGCTTATGCAATACTCTCAGAATGCTTGTTTAAAATAAAAATATGGGTCATTACCTTGGGCATTGAAGCTAAACGGCTTATAATAATAGATAGGAAAGTGATGAAACTGAAAAATGAATAAAAATAATTGTAAAATTGATGAGTTTTACAATGCCAACCATTGGCGTCGGAAGCAAATTGAAAGTGGGGGGGGGGGTAAGTCTGTGGAAAGTGGGGGAGCTAAACTTACGAAGATATGTTCAATGTCTATACATACTGTATATATCTGGAAAAAAAGTTCCGACGCCTATGCCAACATAGCTCCATGTAACTTTTGATATTCATAAACAGAATTCTTTTATATCTTAATTGTTTCCTATACAGGCACTGATACATCTAGCAAGGATTTCTGCACAAATCTAGAGCAAATATGGAGATAAAGAGTTTATCAACGGCAGTCTTGTTATAAGTTAAAATACTTCTATTTATTTAAATTCATTCTTTATTTATAGCAACTGTAATATTATGTAAATAACACCAAAAAAAAAAAAATAGCTGACACATGAGAGATTTCTGTATTAAAAACGAAAACACATTCGAACCTACTTCTAATGTCCTGTCCCTAATACTATAGGTAACAGTGAATAAAGTATCATACGTGCTTTGGGCACAGGAATAAAGAAACGCGTCCGTCTAACTTTTAATCTACAAATATCTCTATAATCAGTATGAAAAGCCAACAGGTTCAAAATTGCATCTCTGTAATTCTTAAAATGAACACGTGTAAAACCTGAATTTGTAAATTGTAAATCTTAATTTCATGATATGTCAATTGTTTTTTCACAATTTTTTAGTTGTGACTACATGACGATGATGTACCCATGCCTAATTTGACAGGTGTAAAATGTAAATGCAAGTTTTGCCGATGCTCTCGTGTAATTCGTAGATTTCACATATCCCAGGAGGTATTGAGCATCTCAGTGTTGTTGGGTTACATTTACCGGGTAGTTTATTCCATGCATCCTCGTGAAACAAAATGAAGTTCAGAAAAAAGTCTTCCGTGCCTTGGGCCCAACGATCATACAAAATCAGAACACGTGAAAAATAAACTCCTCGTGCATGTAGAAACGTTTTTGAAAGAGGCACCCCAAAAAATAATTGACACTTATCGAAAACCCTGGGGGAGCTTGTGGTATAGTAAAAATAATTAAAGTACTGTGAGTACTGAAAGACGGTGGCATGAATGATTTTGTTTGTTTGATTAAAACCCCTTTCGAGAATAACATTTTTAGCAGCGAAGGATATTATTCTGGCTAGCAATTACTGCAACACGGGATCTCAATCTGAATTAAGGGTCGATATCCATGTCACGTATTTGGAGTCGAATCCGCGACGTAAGGATGGACTTCTTCAGGTCCCTGAGTCCAGAGCAAACTCGCTACGTCAAATGGTGACTGGCAGTATATAAGAAAAAAATCTTTTAGATTTTGTAAAATGATATTGAAATTATAAAAGTTTATTTCAATTTTTCACAATATATCTAGCTGTGTTTTAATATATAAATTTATATTTTTTGTACTAAAAAGTAAAGTGTTATGAATTCTCACTGTTATCTAATATTGTTACTATCCTATTACAATTTTCATCAAAAAAAAAAAACATAGCAAACTTGGTATATGCATTAATAAACAATTGAAAATTATAAGACTTAATTTAAATGTGTTGTGACGCCTTACGACACACGATGATAATGTCAAAATGTCTAAAGCAGTGTCAAGTTTCCTCTTTGCTAAAAACAAGTTGGATTATTCCGACTTAAATTAAGGAATTTCATTGATTCACATAGTTGAGTCTACCTTAATCCTTCAAATAACAGCCAGAAACCAATTTCACACACAAATAGGACCTTGTGAAGATTTATTAATAAGTATTAAAGTTATAGACAATATTTTTAATATCATTAATCTAAAGAATCTTATATATATTGGCTGTCAACATTGACAGCGCCTTCCGCTATTCCTGTAGCTGTTTGTTGTACCCTTGAATTTGATAAGACGATTTCGCTTAGAAGACTCCCATTTCTCTAGTACACTAAAGAGGTAAAAAACTGAACTGCTTTCCAGTGCGTAGTATCGCCATCGAACACCGCCGTTTTTCGTGGATTTACCACTTTCCCATTTAAGATGCTTGATAATTATAAACTGATAAATTGATAAAATGATTAAGCAAATGTCCTTAAATTTTCCAAAAGACGACACAATTGATAGTGAATGAAAAATAGGATAATGCTTTCCAAAATCTATTTTTAAATACTTTTATTTCGAAACAATATTCAGGTACATGTGTTATTTTTTAAACCGTTTTTTTTAATCGTGCGTAAGTACACTAAATCATGTTAATGAAGTATTATTATTTTTTTTTTAATTGTCTATTTTTTATCAAAAGATTTCAGATACACTAAAATATTATAAATAAATACTTGCGAAATTAAAATTTCATCTTGCAGCGCCTACTTTTTTTTTCGAGAAAACCCTCGTATACTGCTCGAAAAAAAAAAGATAAAAAAAGAATAACAAAATATTTTTCTGTCTGTATTTTCCATCGTATCAAGTCACGATCGGAGTATGTATATATGCGCATGGAGCTTTCTCCAGAATAGGAGAGGATCATTCATTTTGGCTATGGTTTGCGATGATGGTATTTCCCATACGTAATATTCTAATACAGTAACTAGAGCAAAGCTCGTTGCAAAGCAACGAGTAGGTCTTCCGTCCGGTTTTGACCGGAAGTGACGGAACAAAAGAAAGCAATGAGCTAAGTTGTCTCCAGTGACCTTATAATTTCAATTTTGCATTAAAACCTTCAAAATAAGCCATTTTTGCAGCTTCCGGTTTGACCGGAAGTGACGACGACGCACGAAAAAATTACTTTCTATGCTCCCAGAGACATACGTAACCCAAAAACTTGTCAAGAACGGCAAAAAATGCGTTTTCCGACTACTTCCGGTTTGACCGGAAGTGACGACGCCGGACGTATTTTGACGACGCCAGTAGATTAAGCTTGTCATTTTGAACATTTTTGCTTCTTTGACGTATTACAAATTCCAAATACTTTTTGAGATATAAAGGAAAAACATTCGGCCCCTATCCGCCCCTGAATTAAGGGGCCAGCCCTTTTTTCGAGATATCATTTGAAAGATCTTCAAATTCTATACTTTTTTTGTTCTACATGTTTTTACAAAATATTTCTAGGTAAAAAGTTATCGTAGAAAATTTTGAAATTCTTGATAGGACTATTTTTGGGCCATAGCGAGCGTCGGCGCTTCGTACTTCCGGTGGTTGTGATATACGAAATTCACTTCTCCAAAGGTTGCTCTAGCATCACTGAAAATTTCATGCTTCTGCGTTGAGTGGTTTTTCAGAAAACTGCCGGACAAAGTGACCCTCTAAAAATCACAAAAATGCGGAAAACTCAAAACCGGAAGTGACTTCATCAAAACAAAAAAAATTTTATATCTAGTTTTTTTAATGCTCTATCAGTCCTGAAAGTCTCATGAAAATCGAGCGAGACGTTTTCGAGAACTCGCGTGCAAAAAATCGGTAAGAAAAAAACAATAATAATAATAACTAGAGCCGAGCTCGTTGCAAAGCAACGAGTAGGTCTTCCGTCGTGTTTGACCGGAAGTAACTTTCATTTAAAGAGGAATGAAGTCCCAAAATGGTTTAATCCTCCAAATCTATGTTAATTATTGCTAAATTAAGCCATTTACGGCAACTTCCGGTTTAACCGGAAGTGAGGTCGGCGGACGAAAAATTAAGATATAAGCTTCCAGTGACATATGATATCCAAAAACCTGTCAAGAACTGCAAAAATATGCATATTCTGACGACTTCCGGTATAACCGGAAGTGACGTCTCCGGACGTATTTTGACGACGCCATTAGATAAAACTTGATATTTTGAACAACTTTGCTTCTTTGACGTATTACAAATTCTAAATACTTTTTGAGATATAAAGGAAAAACTTTCGGCCCCTTTTGGCCCTTTATTATAGGGGGCAGTCCCTTATCGTTGATATTTTTCAAAAGAAAGTGACATTCTTCACAACTTTTGTTCTATATGTCTTTACAAAAGAATAACGTGTGAAAAGATATTGCCAAAAATGTGTGAAAATTTTCTAAATTCCCGATAGGTCTTTTTTCGAGCCACAGCGAGCGCCAACGTGCTGCACTTCCGGAGAATAAGAAAGGTGTGTGTCACATCAGCATTTCTTGCTCTATCATCGCTGAAAATCTTACGTTTCTATCTAAAAGCACTTTTGAGAAAACTGCTGGACAAAGTGACCCTCTGAAAATCACTAAATTGCGGAAATCTCAACACCGGAAGTGACGTCATAAAAATAAAAAAATCATATATCAGGTTTGATTGATGTTCCATCAGTCCTGTAAATTCCATGAAAATCGATCGAGCCGTTTCCGAGAAATCGTGTGCACAAAATCGGTAAGAAAACAAGAGGCCCATGGGCCTTATAGGTCACCTGAGCATTATGCAACAACTTTCCAGTGATTGAATTTGATTCATGTTTTAATCCAGATGCTATGGCATTCACAATTTTGAAATAGGCACCATTGATCATCATAACAATACACTTAGCTGTTGCTTAGTTTGTTTACTTAATACCCATAGGCAGGGTAGGGGAACAAAAAATGCATTTCAAGTAATCAGTAATATTCAGCATGATCGGTAATGCCCCAATTACACATGAACCCCTGACCCTTAGGCCTAGATCACACATTGCACAATTTTTTAAAAGGCACCCTTGCTTTTCAAAAATATTTGATAAATACCAAGGAGCAGATTTCAAACAATTCATCCAGTTTCAGTAAATAAGTACAGCCCCCCTCCTTTATGGTACCCCTGACCCTGGGGCCTTGAAATTCACAATTCTGGAAGATTAGGACCCTTACTCATCATAACTACATAGGTAGTTAATCTGCTTAATACCAAGGAGCAGAGAAGAAAACTTTCAAAGATTTAGTATATTTTCATTGTATAATCAATAAAGCCCCACCCTATCACTAGAATCCCTGACCCTGGGGCCATAAAATTCACAATATTGGAAGAGGCACTCTTGCTCATCATACCTATGCACTTATTTAGTTTATTTAATACCCAGAAGCAGAGAAGAAGATTTTCAAAGAATTCATGTATTTTTACTATATAATCTAAAGAGCCCCCCCCCCCCCTAAACCAGAACCCCTGACTCTGGGGCCATCGAATTCACAATTTTGGTAGAAGCACGCTTGCTCATCATAACAAAGCACTTAGTTAGTAAATTCAATACCCAGGAGCAGAGAAGAATATCTTCAAAGAATTCAAGTATTTTCACTATATAATCTATAGAGCCCCCCCCCCCTTACACCAGAACTCCTGATCCTGGGGCCATAAAATTCACAATTTTGGTAGAGGCACTATGGCTCATCATAACTATGCACTTATTTAGTTTATTTAATATCCAGGAACAGAGAAGAAGATTTTCAAAGAATAAATGTATTTTCACTATATAATCGGTAAGAAAAAAACAATAATAATAATAACTAGAGCCGAGCTCGTTGCAAAGCAACGAGTAGGTCTTCCGTCGTGTTTGACCGGAAGTAACTTTCATTTAAAGAGGAATGAAGTCCCAAAATGGTTTAATCCTCCAAATCTATGTTAATTATTGCTAAATTAAGCCATTTATGGCAACTTCCGGTTTAACCGGAAGTGAGGTCGGCGGACGAAAAATTAAGATATAAGCTTCCAGTGACATATGATATCCAAAAACCTGTCAAGAACTGCAAAAATATGCATATTCTGACGACTTCCGGTATAACCGGAAGTGACGTCTCCGGACGTATTTTGACGACGCCATTAGATAAAACTTGATATTTTGAACAACTTTGCTTCTTTGACGTATTACAAATTCTAAATACTTTTTGAGATATAAAGGAAAAACTTTCGGCCCCTTTTGGCTCTTTATTATAGGGGGAAGTCCCTTATCGTTGATATTTTTCAAAAGAAAGTGACATTCTTCACAACTTTTGTTCTATATGTCTTTACAAAAGAATAACGTGTGAAAAGATATTGCCAAAAATGTGTGAAAATTTTCTAAATTCCCGATAGGTCTTTTTTCGAGCCACAGCGAGCGCCAACGTGCTGCACTTCCGGAGAATAAGAAAGGTGTGTGTCACATCAGCATTTCTTGCTCTATCATCGCTGAAAATCTTACGTTTCTATCTAAAAGCACTTTTGAGAAAACTGCTGGACAAAGTGACCCTCTGAAAATCACTAAATTGCGTAAATCTCAACACCGGAAGTGACGTCATAAAAATAAAAAATCATATATCAGGTTTGATTGATGTTCAATCAGTCCTGTAAGTTCCATGAAAATCGATCGAGCCGTTTCCGAGAAATCGTGTGCACAAAATCGGTAAGAAAACAAGAGGCCCATGGGCCTTATAGGTCACCTGAGCATTATGCAACAACTTTCCAGTGATTGAATTTGATTCATGTTTTAATCCAGATGCTATGGCATTCACAATTTTGAAATAGGCACCATTGATCATCATAACAATACACTTAGCTGTTGCTTAGTTTGTTTACTTAATACCCATAGGCAGGGTAGGGGAACAAAAAATGCATTTCAAGTAATCAGTAATATTCAGCATGATCGGTAATGCCCCAATTACACATGAACCCCTGACCCTTAGGCCTAGATCACACATTGCACAATTTTTTAAAAGGCACCCTTGCTTTTCAAAAATATTTGATAAATACCAAGAAGCAGATTTCAAACAATTCATCCAGTTTCAGTAAATAAGTACAGCCCCCCTCCTTTATGGTACCCCTGACCCTGGGGCCTTGAAATTCACAATTCTGGAAGATTAGGACCCTTACTCATCATAACTACATAGGTAGTTAATCTGCTTAATACCAAGGAGCAGAGAAGAAAACTTTCAAAGATTTAGTATATTTTCATTGTATAATCAATAAAGCCCCACCCTATCACTAGAATCCCTGACCCTGGGGCCATAAAATTCACAATATTGGAAGAGGCACTATGGCTCATCATAACTATGCACTTATTTAGTTTATTTAATATCCAGGAACAGAGAAGAAGATTTTCAAAGAATTCATGTATTTTTACTATATAATCTAAAGAGCTCCCCCCCCCCCCTAAACCAGAACCCCTGACTCTGGGGCCATCGAATTCACAATTTTGGTAGAAGCACGCTTGCTCATCATAACAAAGCACTTAGTTAGTAAATTCAATACCCAGGAGCAGAGAAGAATATCTTCAAAGAATTCAAGTATTTTCACTATATAATCTATAGAGCCCCCCCCCCCCTTACACCAGAACTCCTGATCCTGGGGCCATAAAATTCACAATTTTGGTAGAGGCACTATGGCTCATCATAACTATGCACTTATTTAGTTTATTTAATATCCAGGAACAGAGAAGAAGATTTTCAAAGAATAAATGTATTTTCACTATATAGCCTGGTATCTCATGGATTCGTGGTACTTACCGATTCGTAATCGAATAAAATCGATTTACAAAACTTTCAGCTTTATTTTATTGTGATTTGATAATATTAGGATCTAATCTCTTGTTTAGTAAAAGTTTGGTGTAATTTCATCCCTTAACTGTGTCAAAATTCACCTTAAAATGTGCGGTGTTTACGCCACTGTTGAAAAATCAAGCGTCTCATTGATTCGTGGTACGTCATCAAAATCTGAGTTATTTGTATGGCGTATTATTTCGGGCACAATTACTTTATAAAAAATAAAAGATATTGACGAAAATTGGTGTTTTATTTCATAGAATAATAAATTTTATAATTTAGTATATTATTTTTAAAATTTTGTTGTAAATATACAATAACTTTACAATTATATTTAAACAAACAACAATAATAAATTACAGTAGAAATTTTTATAACTTAATTATAATAATTAAACTGAAAAAAAAATACTTGTAACAGTAATTGATATTAAATTCAATGTTTGTGAAATATAATTAAATTTTAATCAGACAAGAGACATACAAAACTGACCAGACATAAGAAAGGTAAATTAATAGTAACATCATTTGATTTCATTACTCACAGTGAGGGCATCTGAATGTGCTCGAGGTACGAAGCACTCTTACATTGGTACAAAATTTTAAATGAGTCCAGTGGGAACAGAAGTCACACTTCCCCCATTGGACAAACAAAATACCGGGTATGCTTCTCAGCCCCGCTGGTTCCCACCTCTGACAAACACAGCAAACTTCATCTTCTGTTTGAGCTTCACAATCACTACCATCCTCGATAATCGGATCCTTCGTCTTTTTGGATTTTTTAACTTCTGTTGTTGATGCTCCAGATGTGGATGGCTGCGTGTCCTCAAGAACCTTCTTCTTCTTCTTTCCTTCCGCAGATTTCAGAATATCCTGATTTGTTTTCTTCAAAAGAGAGCCAGCTAGGAATGGCGGAATGAATTTTCTTTTTTTCTTGCTTTCTGTTTTGACTGCTGTAATTTTGCGACTGCTAAAGAAATCAGGGGGATCATTACATATACGTGTCTGGGATAATGGCTGTGTTGTAGCATGTTCCTGTTGAAGTGAAGAATCACGACTTTGAGAACTTGGATGATCATGATCAAGATGACCTTGGGAGCATGGTTCTCCCGACTCTACATTCAGTTGAGGTTGATCAGCATCTACATAAATTATTGATGGCGCCATCTGTTGATCTGTGATTGCCTTTGGATCAACTGGAAATACACCTGTTTTTCTAAAGGCTGAAATTAAGTTGTCCGGACACATGGCTTTGAGGTATGGCGTTGCTGTGAGCTCTGCAATATCGTACTTGGTTATATTTCTCCCTGGGTGCTTCTGTAAGAACACAGCACATTCTCTGTTATAGATTTTTTTTAGTGGCCCAAACACCCCAACATCTAACGGCTGGGTCAGATGGCTGCTATGCGGAGGGAGAACAAATAATATTATGTTATTTCTTTGTGCCCAGTCCGTCAACGTTAAACTAATATGGGACCGATGTCCATCTAAAAGAATGAGAACAGGGTCCTGATTTTGTCTCCTGGCATTTTCTAAAAAATGGGTCGTCAGGTACTGTTCAAATATTTTACCATTTGACCAGCCACTATCACTCATTGCCCCCGAAGATCCAGATATGGCAACATTTAGGAAGTCAGCATTCCATCTTTTACCCGGGAAAACATAAAATGGGGGTAAAAAATGACCTGCAGCATTTCCTCCGGCAATAATAGTGATAGTAGAGGATCGTGGAGACGTAATGGATCGAGGGTTTACATCTTTTCCACAAACAATTTTGGGTGGCGAATGGTCAGTCGAAATTCCTGTTTCGTCAATGTTGAATATTTGATTTGGTTTGTCCGCTAATTCATGTTTTGTTAATATTGTGGACAGTTCCTTGAAATAAGCCTTCATTTTTTCAGGGGATGCATTTTTTGCTCTAGCCATTGAAAGTTTTTGTGGTTTTACCAGTTTCAAGTCTGGCCAGCGGCGCAAAAAGCCATAAAACCAATTATTACTGAGATGGTCAGTATTTTCGTTCTTTGTGTGAAGTTTTTTGTTAAGGGAATGTGCATACTGTCTTGCCATCCTCTGTATGTCCATTTTTGTATAGCCATATCCGATTCCAGCCATATAAATTAGATGCTGTGCCAATGCTTCTTCCTCTTTGAAAGTAAAAGTGTTATCATAACCTAATTTAGCAGTTAGTGGAACTTTTTCCTTAACTCTGTCCCTTAGAGTCTGCTCTGGCACGAAAAATACCCTAGAGGCCTTATAAACAGACATTCCCTCTGACACAACAGCATCATATGCACGTTGAAGGTTTGCCTTATCATACTGATATCTTTTTCTCTAAAATAAAATACCAAAATTATTTAGTTTATTGCAAATACCTTTATATAATTTTTAAAGCGATATATAATCAACCATTTCATTCAATGATTTACTTTATCAATAAATTACACGTTTTGAAAAGATTTTTTTAAAAATATAATTTAATAACATTTAAATTCATATTTATAAAATTAAAATTGGATTTAGAATAGAATTTATCTTTGAATTCTTGATGCAAAAATAGAGAAAAATATTTTTTTTAATTTGAAGGACGAATATTTTATAGTTTTACAGCACTTGTAATTCGGCTGCTGATTATGATAAATAAAAACACTGATATTTAACGCTAGCAACTTTCCATACTTTATTCAATGCCTAGCAACATCACTTGATATAAGCAGTCAATCATGCAGACGACATCTGGAAATTCATTTGAAATCAATTAACCAACTATTTCATACCCCTTTAGCTATTTTTAGGAAAACAGGTATGTCTTCCAAAAGTGACTAATACGGATGTATACGTAGTTTGTATATTTTTTGCATTACTTACCGAATTTTCCGTCATTTTCTTTGAATTATGCCCCTTTGTTTACATCAGGAAATCTACTTTCGATTTCTCAAAATAAATTTCTGGAATAGTGCATTACGCGTGCGCAATGACGGAAAAAGAAAATACCACGAATCAATGGGTACCACGAATTCATGAGAAACGACCATAATCTATAGAGTCCCCCCCCCCCTTACACCAGAACCCCTGTTCCTGGGGCCATAGAGTTCACAATTTTGGTAGAGACACTCTTGCTCATCATAACTATGCACTTATTTAGTTTATTTATTACCCAGGAGCAGAGAAGAAGATTTTCAAAAAATTCAAGTATTTTCACTATGTAATCTATAGAGCCCCCCCCCCCCCTTACACCAGAACCACTGACCCTGGGGCCATAAAATTAACAATTTTGGTAGAGGCACTCTTGCTTATCATAACTATGCACTTAGTTAGTTTATTTAATACCCAGGAGCAGAGAAGAAGATTTTCAAAGAATTCATGAAATTTCACTATATAATCTATAGAGCCCTACCCTAACACCAGAACCCTTGATCCTGGGGCCATAAAATTCACAATTTTGGTAGAGGCACTCTTGCTCATCATAATTATGCACTTATTAAGTTTATTTAATACCCAGGAGCAGAGAAGAAGATTTTCAAAGAATTTATGTATTTTCACTATATAATCTATAGAGCCCAACCCTAACATCAGAACCCCTGACCCTGGGGCCATAAAATTCACAATTTTGGTAGAGGCACTCTTGCTCATCATAACTATGCACTTAGTTAGTTTATTTAATATCCAGGAGCAGAGAAGAAGATTTTCAAAGAATTCATGAAATTTCATTATATACTTATTTAGCCCCACCCTTACACCAGAACCCCTGACCCCGGGGCCATGAATTTCACAATTTTCGTAGAGGACTCAATGTTGATTACAATCATGCAAACAGTTTGACTGCTTGATGTCCAGGAGTAAAGAAGAAGATTTTTAAAGATTGCACTAATTTTAGTGGTTTTTGCCCCACTCCCAAGGCCCCAGGGGGGCAGGGCCCATGAAATTCACAATTTTTGTTCCCCTTCACCCATAGATGCTATATGCCAAATTTGGTTAGAATTGGTTCAGTGGTTTCAGAGAAGAAGCTGAAAATGTTCAAATGTTAACGCACGACGAACGACGACGGACGAAAAGTGATAGCAATAGGTCACCTGAGTTTACTCAGGTGACCTAAAAACAATAATAAAGATAGTGGAAAAGAAACCTAAGAACTAGAGCCGAGCTCGTTGCAAAGCAACGAGTAGGTCTTCCGTCCTGTTTGACCGGAAGTAACTTTAACTTAAAAAAAAAAGAGTAATGAAGTCCCAAAATTGTTTAATCCTCCAAATCTATATTAATTATTGCAAAATTAAGCCATCTTTTGCAACTTCCGGTTTGACCGGAAGTGAAGACGACGGACGGAAAATTCAGATTTAAGCTTCCAGTGACATATGATATCCAAAAACATGTCAAGAACAGCAAAAATATGCAATTTTTGACTACTTCAGGTTTGACCGGAAGTGACGTCACCGGACGTATTTTGACGACGCCATTAGATAAAACTTGATATTTTAAACAAATTTGCTTCTTTGACGTATTAAAAATTCTCAATACTATTTGAGATGTAAAGGAAAAAATTTCGGCCCCTTTTGGCCCTTTATTATAGGAGCCAGCCCCTTATCGTTGATAATTTTTGAAAGATCGTGACATTCTCCACAACGTTTGATCTATATATCTTTACAAAATATTAACGTGATAATAGATATTGCAAAAACTGTGTGAAAAATCTCTAAATTCCCGATAGGTCTTTTTTCGAGCCATAGCGAGCGCCAACGTGCTGCACTTCCGGAGAATAAGAAAGGTGTGTGTCACATCAGCACATGTTGCTCTATCATTGTTGAAAATCTTACGTTTTTATCTAAAAGCACTTTTGAGAAAACTGCTGGACAAAGTGACCCTCTGAAAATCACTAAATCGCAGAAATCTCAACACCGGAAGTGACGTCATCAAAATAAAAAATTATATATATTAGGTTTAATTTATGTTCCATCAGTCCTGAAAGTTTCATGAAAATCGATCGAGCCGTTTTCGAGAAATCGCGTGCACAAAATCGGTAAGAAAAAAAAGAAAACAATAATAAAAATAACTAGATACGAGCTCGTTGCGAGCACTGAGAGGTCTTCCGTCCGATTCCGTAAAAAAACATAAATGATGAAAGAGTAAAAAAAATATTGCACTCAAGGGGGATTGAATCCAAGTGGCCAGCATGAATATTGAACGCGCTAAATATTACGCTATTGGGACCTCTGCTCTAAATCTTCTTGTATATACCTCTGTATAACATGCTTTGTGTTAAAATTATAAAAGGCTAGTCACTATTCATAATTTCGCGCAAACGCCACGAGTTAATCTTGGCGCCTTTTCTTTGAAATGTTCTATTTAATACGTGTGATAGCTTCAATGAAATAAAAAACCCTTCATGTAGCCTAAAGTTAGACGATTAGAAAGTATATTTAACACATTTTACAAATTCCATATAGTATGTAAGCAAGTAACACTTTTTCTACTTTGAGAACCAGCCAAAACCAATTATAGAAGACGTTGAAGAAGAACGTAGTTTGACATAGAATTGCAACGTAACTATGACGTGGAAGTCAGAGTATTCCTTTACATTTCATTTGTCCCTATGTAACTTTCGTTCAAGCAAACGTTCGGCTGCCTCCGTAAACCCCTATTGCGAAATGTCGGAGTTGACAAAGACAGCCGCCATTTTGGACTCGCTTCGGATTTTTAATTGTTAATATCTAGAGTTTGGATTTATCAATATTCAAACAAATCATTCAGTAAGCATTATAAGAAGGGTCTCTATTACCATCCCAAGAATAAATGAAAAATATTGAAAAACAAAAAAGTTAGAAAAAAGGGACTTTTTAATTTCGCTTCCGGTAGCAACCGGAAGTACCGACGACACACGAAAAGGTGATTCGTCATATCTAAAAGTCATCATCTTTCATCTCTAACAAGTCTCCAGTTAATATCTTAAACCATTTTCGAAAAAAAGGGGGGACAAACTTGCATTTTAAAATCAGAAAAGTGTCAATTACTTGGAACCAAAGGTGAGTACATGTATTCCAAATTTCACTTGCCATGCCACATTTTCATATAATGACGCATGATTCCTGAAAGTTTCATTGAAATCCACTGAATAGTTTTCGAGAAATCGCGTGCACAAAATTTTGGGGAAAAAAATAAGAATAACTACAAACGATCTCGTTGCGAGCAACGAGAGGTCTTCCGTCCGATTCAGGAAAAGAACCTAAAATCGAACTGAAAAATTAATAAAAAAAAATTTGGTCACAAAGAGGATTGAACCCAGGTCGCCAGCGTGAAAATCCAACGCGCTTTTTTCCTCTTTATTCCCAACACGCTTAAATAAGGCGTTTGAGTCCACTGCTCTAAATGTACTTGAATATACTTCTTCAACAATACACCTGTCTAAGAATCACAAAAGGCGCGCCACTATTTATAATTTCGCGCCAAACGCCACAAGTTAATCTGCGCGCCTTTTCTTTGGAATGTTTCATTAAATAGGTGTGATAGCTTCAATAGAATAAAGAAAAAGGAACGTTCTTTAAGCCTAAATTTCGAGGTTTAGAAAGTATATTTAACAGATTGTACATATTCTATATCTTATATAGGTAAGTAACACAAAAGAAGTGAAATAGTAATCATTTTTAACTTTTTTTTAATTACCCGTTTATCCCCAAAGTGAACTAACCCGATTCTTTACACCTTCATGAAAAGGTAGAAATGGTTCGATGAAAGACATGTCTCGCCATTCGACGGTCAAGGAATCAGATTTCATTTATGTTCAATGTTCAATGTTCATCTTTAAATATCTTTGAGAAAAGAATGTTAATATAAACTCCATTAGACGATCTTATTTAAAAATGGTTTTCTTATTTCTGTCTTTTGTATTAGTTTAATATGACTCAAGTGTGCATGGGAAACACAGTGGTTAGTTTGTGAAAAACTAATAAATTTTGAATACTGCTCTAAATATAGTTATGTATACAGTACACCTGCAACAGTACACCTGTGTAAGAAACATAAAAGGCGGGCCACTATTCATAATCTGGCGACAAACACCACGAGTAAATATTCGTGCCTATCCTTTGGTCTGATCTATCAAATAGGTGTGATAGCTTCAATGATATTAAATATTAAATAAAACAACTTATCGCCTTTATTTTATTTCGACGTTAAGAAAGTAAATTTAACACATTGCACACACGTATCTAGCCCAATTACACTAAAGAAGTAAAACGGAAATTAAGTTTTAAGATTGTCACTGAATTGCAGCGTACTACTAGGTGAAAGTCCACGTAGTTTTTTTACTTTTCATGCATCATTTAGTCAAACGCTCAGCTGCCTCCATAAACCCCTACTCGCGAAATGGCGGAGTTGACAGAGACAGCCGCCATCTTGGGTCCGCTTCAGATTTTCAAATATTAATATCTAGAGTTCTGATTAACCAATATCCAAACAACTTATATAGTAAGCATCGATCAAAGGGTCTCTATTATCATTCCAAAAATAAATAAAAAATGTTGAAAAACAAAAAAGTTAGAAAATACGATTTTTTCAATTCGCTTCTCCTAACGACAGGAAGTACCGACGACGAACAAAGTGTCGCGTCATGGATGGTATATATCACGATCTATAATCCCTGAAAGTTTCATGTTCATATATTATACCGATTTTGAGTTTAATCGCGGACAAAATGTCATTTTAATTTCAGGAAATTGTCCGTAACTTGGCACCGGAAGCAAGTTTCCAAATTTTCTCTCGGATATAATAAATTCATGTAACAACACATCTGTCCTGAAAATTTCATGTAATTTCATTTAGTAGTCTTCGAGAAATCGCGTGCACAAAATTAGAAAGTCAAAAAAATAAGAATAACTAGATGAGATCTCGTTGCGAGCAACGAGTGGGTCTTCCGTCCAATTCTTGATGAGATGAGATAAGATTTTGATTGCGATTTTCATTCTAAAATAATGATTTACCAAAAAGACATTGATCATTTAAGTCTTTAAAAAATCGTCCTTTTGCCCGTAACAGCCC